TATATTAAAAGATTATTTTTTAATTGCCCTCGCATCAATTTCAAAATTTATATGTGTCAATTAGGAACTGTGATAAAATATAAATTACAGAAAATAAAATTAATTTTTTAAATCAATTGCATATATTCTTTTATTATTAATTTGTATTAATTCATAGCCTTCTATCTGCTTAAAAAATTAATTAGAATAAAAGATATTGTAATTAAATGCGTACGTATTTGTGACAAAAGAAGGGTTGACAATTTGATATTAATAAATGAGTTTTCTAATTCTGTTTTCTTTCCGCCAATGATATGCATTAGGGACAAAGTGGTGCGGTGATGGAGATATTGCAGCGAACGACACCGATCTCGGTAAATTCAAGGAAGTAGACGCCTGTTGCAGGGAGCATGATAAGTGCACGATCAATATTGAAGCTGGCAAAATGCTTGGTAATCTCATGAACGACGGTCTTTTCACAAAGTAAGTGAACAAACGAGATGATACGAGCATTACTCTCCACGCATAACAATCGTATTTCTCGTCGAACTTTTCTTATCATCGTAACGTCAGTAAGAAATCCTGCAATGCTTGCATTACTTTCAAACAAAAATTGTACAGGTGCAAAATAAATCTGGCACGTTTTGTTATCAAATTGTATGTTTAAACATTATTCTTTAACGAAATAAAAAAGCTGTTTGACTCGCGTTAATCCCTGGATAATTCTTAATCAATTTCTTTATTATTATGTCTTTGTAATTTTCTGATAGATCCGCTTGTACTTGCGACTCCAAATTCCATTCTTGTCTGAAAGCCACCTCCAGCTTTATGGATAAGGTGATTGCTAAGGAGATCGGAATGATGTACTTCGGTATGCTGCAACCGCAGTGTTTCCAATGTATGTGCCCAGCGGAAGGTTGCAAGTAAGAAATAAATTACATTTATTAACATTTATTATATTGATATAATATCAAGCTGTCTGATTAATTCTTACTTATAAGTATCGCAAGCTTAAAGAGATAAAAGTTCTAAGTTTATTTAACTTGTTTCTTAAAGAATCTTATACATATATAGGATATATAACGTATAGAATTTAGTTGAATTATTTTTAACATGTTAAATATATCTTAAAATATAAAAATTCCGACTCAGCTTAATTGGAATATACACATTTCAGTCTTAAAGAAATGGACTGCATGGACGGTTGCAAGAAGTACGAGTGGGTTGACAATGAAAAATTTTGAAGTTACATTAAGTTGACCACCATAATAACTGACATTGCAATATTGTAAAATAAAAGAAGATCCTCTAATTTCAAAGCTTTTGTTTTAAGTATAAGATCTTTGAGACCTCTTTAAAAATGTAATTTTGATGTAAATATCTTCGCAGTTTCGTAATTCTTGATAACAAATGTATGTCTTTTTTTGATCTTTATTTTTAATAGAGACAGAAATAATGATTCTTAGAGTCAGACAGATGAGAAATTACTAACTATACTTTTTTTAAAGACTATACATTACTATGCATAATGTACTCTAAAACTATATATTTTAATATACATGTTTGTGCAATTGTAATGCATGTATACGATGTGCGAAATATAAATAAAACAGAATTTGCATGATAATTATAAATAAAACAGAACTTGCATGATAATTACAATGTACTATTCGCATTTATCCTATTTCTTCAATTAATGTTTATACTATAATAACGCTAATAACGATACATATAGTTCAGGATAAGTTTAAAATATTGATATACACACACACATATATATATATATATATATATATATATATATATATATAATCATATATCGCACTCTTAATTGATTCTCAAGCAACACTATTATAAAGAAACATGATTTCCGTATTATTATCATATAATAATCAATAAATGAACGTATCGATCACAGAAATCTGGGAAATTTAATTTTTTTGAAGTGTGTCATTTTTAAAGCAAGAATATGATAATGCCTTGCTATTATTTATTCTATTATGTATATGTGTACTACAACATATTTTTCTTTATTATGTTAATAATCATTTAGTAATCCATTATTTGTACGTAAAATAATGCTATCATAAATCTCTTTAGACAAAAATATGAAATTATTGTTCAACAAATTTCGATTATATTTTTCAACGGCATTATTATTTTAATTATATCTCTAAAAATTAAATTCACACGCTCTTTAAATAATAGATTTTTCATTCAGTTTGTCATTAAACTTCTTACCCTTCTACTTGTGGTAAAATAAGATATCGATGGTCTTTAAACAAAGTGTCAAGTTACTAGTGCCATTTTACGTCAGTCGGTTATAGCCAAGTAAAGTGAACGCAGTGTATTATTAAAATTTTCTGCAAACAGATAAGCGAGTCGCGAGCAGGCTGTAAGAAAGAATATTTTAAAGTTTATTGGTAATAAAAAAATTTATTAATCTACTGTTCATTACGTTGTATCAACTTAAATAAATTTTATATTGTCATCTTTTTATTCATTCTTTTTAATCATTACAAATTCTAAAAGAAAAAAATATAATGTTTTTTATATATTCATTATGTTTTTATTTCGAACTAAAATTTGTATAATATTTGTGTATCTACAGTTTTCAATTTATAATAATTTGTTTAAAATTAAAATTAAAGATCTAAAAAATATATATTTGAAATATTACTATAACAAAAAATTGAAGATAATTGCAATGAGTGCTAGGATAAATAAAATCAGTTAATTTTTTTCGTTTCTCAATCAGTACAGTTAAACTTGTATTAAACAATATATTAAACACTAACAACATAGACACGAGAGATAAATTGTTAAAACATCTCAGTTCACATCTTAATAACTTAATAATTATATTCTTTGTATTTCGAGAAAAAAATTTTTTTAAGAATTGAAAAAGCTTTGTAAATATTATTAGCAAAAAAAAAGAGTTTTGTCTCAAATATTTTTATGTCAGGAAATATTTCCATCTGTGATTATATGGACAAAAACTTATTGCCTTTATCTTGCTGTTTAAAAGTCAAAATTATTGACAGCTATAAGTCTTATTTCATCCTTGAATTCATCTTTCTTATCTCGATTTCTTATCCACGATTAGAGCATATACATTGCATTATGTTTTATTAAAGAATCTTCTTGCTCTGCCGTCATTCATTCTAGGATTGTTTATAGGTAAATAAACAACGTAATGTCACGTGTGTGTGTATCCGTTTGCCTCTTCGTTCTCTTCACCTTTAGCGACACTCTTCTATTCAGTGATTACGAGAACAATAGTATCCAATCCGAGTTCGTATGTGAAAATATAAGTATCATACCCCCCGGTTCCAATAAAACTCGTCTGACGTTTTTTGAAACGTTATTAAAAGGAATGATGTTGCCTGTAAACATTTTGGAAAAGATCTTTAAAAATCTGTTTGAAATGTTATTAAAAGTAATAATGGTGCCTATAAATATTGTGGTGAATCCCATTAAAAATCTGCTACAAAAGATGTTCACGGACGTTGTGACAGATATCCTCCAATCGCTACCACAGCTGCTCACAAGGATTATAATAAATATGCTCAGACCAAAAAATTACACGAAGCACGAGGATCATACACAACTTGAAAAAGGAGGAAATATGTCGTACGGAAAAGTTCTAACAAGATACAAAAATTACGTTAACATTGTCTACCCAGGTAATTCGAACATCTGCCTGAGACGCTTATTGGAAGAATGCTGTAAATGGCAAAAATTAATATCTTAGAGAAATATTCCTCTTTATTTAATATCTAAAAGTAAAGGAATAGTTTTATTCGATATGTTTACAGAAGAATATGTATAGAATATTTTAGACCATTTTGTAGACCAGCCGAAATTGCTATGAAACGAACTTTGCAAAACTTTGCAGTAAAAATGTAACAAAACTTGTTGTTCATAAAATTGGAGCAAATCTTAAGAAACAGCATCAGAAACAGTGCATTTGCTAGCATAATAGTAGCAAACAGATGGCAAGAACTGAGCGAAAATATATGCGGCGTCAATACGATACGGCAAATTGGTTGCGTAGTTGAGCAAGACTTGCTGTTACGTAGCTGAAACTATTTGCTATATCATTTTTTTAAATACCTTTAAGTGGAAGTAAGTTTTGTAAGCTCGCTGCAACTATATCACTCAGGGAAATGTTTCGCTGTTCCAGCTAGAATTCTAAATATTATACTTAAATTATATGACTGTTTTTTGTATCTATTAAAAAATTGTTTGTCATACGACTCATACGTAGAATTTATAGCAGCAGTATTCTAAAAATATGTGCAAGAAAATATAAGTCTCATAACCATCATATAATTGGAGTCTGGACTAATTAAACGTCATAGAGAAACTTTCTTAATATTAAAAAAAAAAACAAATAGTTACAAATAGTTTAGATATAATTTCTGTCTCTGTTATCTGTCTCTGTTATTTCTGTATATATTGATTAAATACAAAACATATGTGGTATCGCAGCGCTTACCAATCACTCATCCATTTTAGCTAATTTTTCGTACCTTAAACAATTCTCGCCATAATTGCATGATTACATTTTTCAGTGTATCATCTTTTTAAATACCTTTACATGGAACTTTTGTAAGTTTAATTAATTTGAGAAATGTCCATTACGCTTTATGTAGATTCTGAATGATTTCCAAAATTATTTCAAGAGAAAATATGTAATATGAATCTCGTGGGATCTGAGATCCGTCCAAATTTGAAAGTTGAACGCGGAGCACATATTCCAATTATAATATAATTTATCCCCAGGTATATATTAAATTATATATATATATATATATATATATATATATATAGCTAATTTAAATTATATCCTATTAAGAATATGATTATTGTATATTATGTATTAAAATTATTAATTGTACAATATAATTGTTACATTAAAGAATATTTTAATTAGAAAATTTGTACGTATATTACAAAAAATTCCTATTTGTCTCTTTTTTCATTTTCTGTAAAAAGAAGAAAAGAAATAGGAAATGCATATGAATGATATTTAAAGGTATTTAAAAAGGCATATCATATAATGGAGCTACGTAAGCAATGTAATAACGGTTTTAATTCTATAGTTGTCACCGATTTGCCATCGTGTCGTTTCATATATGTTTTTGTTCGGTTTTGCTATTTGTTTTCTGTTATTATTCCACCAAATTTTTTATTGTTAGACTCGAAGTCTTCATATTTAATCGATTATTGTTAGTTATTATCCACTAATTGTTAATTTAAATTTCTCGTTGCTCTCGCATCATCTCTAAAATTCATGTGTGTTATTTAGGAATTTTGGTAAAACATCTATATAGAAACTAAATTAATTTTTTAAATCAATTGTATTATACTATAATCTGGTCAATAAAATTAACGCATAGGTAAATGTATATCAAAATTTCGTATAACTTTAAACAATTGTAACTCCGCGAAAAATAGTCGTATCAAAAAGTTTTTTTTTTTTCATTCTCAAGGATAAAGTCTAAACAGATAATGCTGACAGTAATTGAACAAAAGTGCAATAATAATTTTGACATGCCGTAACTTTGCGAAAGAAAATCATATAAAGGTTAAATTTTTTTTCTTTGAAGGAAAAAGTTCAAACGATGGTTATCCTGACATTTGTGACAAAAATTCATTCCGTTCCGTAGAATGCGTCAAATTATGTAATTTTTTTGAAGACGCAACATGTCTTTACTTTTCAAAAGACGTACGGCGGGTGGGAGGAAAGGTAAATTAAAAATTAATCAACAGTATCTTTAAGTACAAGTTTTTACCCATGAAAATAAAACAAAATTTTGATATGACCATTTTTCGCGGAGTTACGATTGTCTAAAGTTATACAAAATTTTGGTAGAAATTCACTTATGCGTTAATTTTGTTGACTAATGTATTTATATATATATTTTTCTTAATTATTAATTCTTGATATTATTTCATAGTTTTATTCCATATGCATTAGAAATTATATAATTATGATAGAAATTACACGTAATAAATCGTATATTTATGATAAAAAAAGAGAGTTTGACATTTTATTATTATTAATTTGACTATCTAGTGTGGTTTTTTGATTCTGCCAATGATATTATATATATGCGTTAGGAACACTCTGGTGCGGGCCTGGAAATAATGCAATAAATGAGAGCGATCTCGGTCAGTTCAACGAAACAGACGCCTGTTGCAGAGCGCACGATGAGTGCAAGGACTATCTGTTAGTCGGCGAAACGAAAGTCAATATCCAGAACAACGGTGTTTTCACAAGGTAATTAAATAAACGAAATGATACGAGAATTACCTTCAATTATATTTGTCACTTAACTTTTATTCGTATCGCTCTTCGAATTTATCGTAACATCCTACAGCGCTTGCATTACTCCTATCAAATACAAATTTCACGTAACAGATGCAAAATATGAATTTAGCAAGTTTTGTTATGAAATTATTATACGTTTAAACATTATAATCCTTTAGCGAAATAAGAAAGCTGTTTGGCTCGCGTTAGTTTTACGAATAATTTTTAATTGATCTTTTCATACTATTAAAATAGAAGAAATAGGCTCCAAGGAATAAATCAAATATATATAGTGAAGTAATTGCATATAAGAGCCGAAACGGGTGTTGATATGTGAATTAATTCTTACATGTTACAATATCCTGCAACCACACACGATCTGCGCGCCGCACGGTTTGTCAGTCTTGAAATACACAGCTCTTTCCATGAAGCCGGAAACTTGTAACTAATTAAATTGACGAAGAATTTAATATCTTTCGATGCTAATATGCATCTATACGATTCCCCTCTGCCCAAATCTGTAAAGAAATTTAATTAGTTACAAGTTTCCGGCTTTATGCAAAGGAGCTGTGTTTTAAGACCGACACTGCGGTGCGCAGATTATGTGTGGTTAGGTTTTAGTATTCACACACCATCACCCGTGTCGGCTCTTATAGACAATACTTCACTATATATTTGTTTTGTTAAGTCTTTGTAATTATCTGATAGATCCGCTTGCACTTGCGACAACGAGTTCTACGATTGCCTGAAAAACGTCTCCAGTCTGATAAGCCTCAAGATTAGTGTGATGTACTTCAATATACTGCAACCGCAGTGTTTCCAATGTGTATGCCTGACAGTAGGTTTCAAGTAAGAGATAAATTATATTTATGTTACCTATTTAATTAATTCTTGCTTATGAGTATTGCAAGTTTGCAGTTAAACGAGTTCTTAAATTTATAGAATTCGTTTCTTTACAATAAATAAAAATTGCAAAGGAAAGAATCTTACCTGTATATCCATGTAGAATTTATTTTCAACATTATTATATATAATTTCTATATGTGTATTTAAATTATAAGTGAAAATTTTGGTTAAGCTTGATTAAAACGCATAATAAATTTCAGTCTTGAAGACGGCACGGAATATAAGAACCAGTGCGAAATGTATAAATGGGTCGACAATCGCAAAGTTAAATTTTTAAGTTGAGTTAACAATAGTCGTGTTAGCAGACATTCAATTTTGGTACGATAAAGGCAGATCCTTATAATTTTGAAGATTTAATTCTTTTCTTAAAGATATTTTTCTTAAAGATCTTCAAGATCAGATGAAGACAGGCGAGAGGAATAAAGTATAAACCATTATGATAAACATTATAATAAATATCTAAGCGTATCTCCAAGCAAACTATTTAAAAAAAGTCTAGCCGATACGTTTTTATGGTATATAAAAACGTTTAATGTACATTTAAACCGTCAAAATATCTCGCAGAAAAACAGTATTTTAAATTTATAAAAAAAACATTAAATATAGATATTAAAAATGTTAAAACAATTTACAAAACATTTTGTAACGTTTATAAAATAGTATAACGTATCGATCTTTAAACATTTATCATTCAATTTATATGCTTATTACACGATTTTTAACATTTAAACGTATTTTGTTTGTAATTGAATTATTTGACATATATCCTCGATAAATAATGGATTAAATAAATTAATTATTATTCTGTTAGAAAACCGTTATTTTATTATTAAAAATGCATTCATATGTTGAGTTGTTTGTTCTATAGTTTATCAGGAGATAGCGGCTCCCACCAAGTATATTTTTTCGCTACATGATTATACTTACATCAACCTTCGAAATCGATATAATTACATATGTTGGATTATTATTTATTTCATTATATGTATATATACTACATATATCTTTTTACCTGATGTTAGCGATGTCATTCAGTAAATAATTAATTTGTACGCATAAATGACGCTGTATATTATGAATTTCTTTGGACAAGAACGTAGGACTAACGTTTAACAAATTTCGATTACATTCTTCGGTGGTACGCCTCTTTTAATTATGTGTGGAATCGTTTTTGGAACCATACTGCAAGAGAAAAACGGATAGGGATAAACCAAAAAAAAAAGAAAAACTTAAATTGAAAATCGAGATAGAGCGCAAATGAAATTAAAAATCTAGGTAGAACGGAACTGAAGTATAAGGATAAACCAAAAAAGGAAAACTTAAATTAAAAATCGAGATAGACATTTTTGATTTGCAACTTACGTGATGCAGTCAATAATCGGACAGACCGACAAGCAAAGCGTACACCCGGTGCAATCGTCCGTCACACTTGGGATGTGGGTGTCGGGGTCGAAGGCGATCGCTTGATATCCGGAATCCGCGCAAGCCATGTAGCACTTGCCGCAATTTATGCACATGTCCTGGAAATGGATGGCGCGAGTGTAAAGGGAAGATTGTACTCATTTCGTAACAATAAATAAAATATATTAAGCAATTGATATCGTTTTAGAGTCACTAACGTACATCGTCGATCAAGGCGACCACTTGCTTCCTGTTGTCCAATTCCTTGTAACTGCCGATGTGAAGTATCGCTTTACCTATCACGTCCTTGACAGTAGGAATCGGCGCGATCGATGTTGGAGCCGGTCGAATCGCCTTGACGACCTCGTCCAAGGGATTCGAGTTTGCTTTCAGCTCGGCTACCTTCTGTTCGCGCAGTCTTTGGTACACGCCGAAATACGGTATATTCTGCAGAAGTGTCTCTTAATTACCTGTTTACTTAAATTAGATTAACTGTCGTCGTAGATATCAATTGGTAATTAATTCTTACTTTGCCAAGGGCATGTTGCATGGAAATAGGCTTGCCCTTCTGATGCTTGAACGTCGGTGGACTCTGACCGTCCCAGTCCTTCACTTGCGCCAGACTCTTTAGATACAACAACGCTTTCAAGCCGGTCACGTAGTCGTCTATCAGTGTGAAGTCTTGGTTCTGAATAGCGCTACAAATCTGCGTTAATTAAAAAAATATTCGGTTAGTTTTTTTTATTCTTGATAAAAGGAGAAATGATTTAAGAGTAGGTGTATATATATATATATATATATAGAATTATAAGGATACGCGGGGAGATTCGACGAGATACCTGGACGACCGATGCACCGCAATGCAAGAACTGCAGAGTGACGTCGGCCGAGTCGACGCCGCCGGTGCCGAGAATTGGGAATCCCGGAAGATGCTTTGAAATCGTCGAGATCGCTCTCAGAGCTTGGGGCCTGGTGGCGTTTCCCGACATCCCGCCGTACGTTGTAGACTTGTTGAGGCCGACTGCCGGCCACGGAGTCGCATCGGCGTGCAGTCCCATTAATCCTGATACCGTGTTAATGGCAGTAACGCCGTCGGCCTTGCCTGCGTCGCAAGTATTGAATATTAATTGAATAGATGTTTTTTTAACTCCCTCGAGATATAAAATTCTTTGTAAAAATTTAATTAGCTTGAGAATTTAATAGATGTTAAATTAAATATCTTGGTATTGTTGCTAAAAATATATTTAAATAGAAATCAATTATATGTATATAATTATTCGCAAATTGTAATTGCTACTATTTTGTACATTATATGTACATCGTTTTAATTTGATTTCAATACTTTAAAGTGAATTTAATTACCTTCGTAAGCTGCCTTGGCTATAGAAAGGATGTCGGTGATATTGGGTGTCAATTTGATGAAAAATGGTATTTTGACGGCTTCGCGAACCCATCTGGAGATGTTTCTAACCAGTTCAGGATCCTGAAACCAATTTCATGTTTTTTTTTTTATCAATCTCATATTTCGAGTTGTAAACATGAAACAAACATGAAATAAGCGGATAAACCTGTCCACAGGCCAGACCCATTCCGGACTCGCCCATACCATGAGGACAGGATAGATTTAATTCCAATCCGTCAGAGCCAGCCGCTTCCGCTTTTCTCGCCAGCTCCGTCCAATCAGCTCTGTTATACGTGCACATAATACTCGCAATGACAACCTATGCAAAAATATAATGCGATAAAATCTAGCAAATAAAATGCTGGTCATGAGCAATTAAGGAGGTCAGTTTTTTAAACTATTTTAAAGCCATTTGTCAGACTTTTTTTTCTACAAAATGAAAATACTTAGAGTATTAATATTTTATGTCTATGTACCTTTTATCTTAAAAAAAATTTAACTTTATTACGTTTTGTGCGCGTACTAAAAAGAATGTTATTTTAGCAATATATAATTATTTGATTTTTATTATATTCGTGTAAACTCTGTTATACATAATTGAATAATTCGAGTAAAAAGTGTAACATACCTTCGTGGGGAAGTCTCGTTTCAATTCAGTGACACTGCTGCACCAATAATCGGCGGTTTTCTCGGATATCAACTCGATGTTTAGAAAGCTACCCTGCTCAGGTCCATAATGGTGACGGGACGTGGTGCCTTTGACGATGCGCGGCGACACATTGGTGACAAGATCCTGCGAAGAATAAAAAATACAGATTTGGGAATAAAATGCTATGTCATTTGACTTGGCGATTAATTAAATGAGATCGAACCTTGTCCAAGGAGAAGGTTTTCGTGATAGCGAAAGCCCAGCCTGCCTCGAAAGCTCGCCGGATCATCGCGCTGGTGGTGCAAGGTGGCGCGGAAGCAAGACCGAAGGGATTCTCGAATTTCATCCCGCACACCTCAACACTGAGGTCAACATCGTCAACGGCGGTGTGGAACTTCGGTAACTGCGGAGTTTCCGGCACCGTCAAATCGTGGGATTCCTAGGCGATGCAAAAATCAATGTGTAAAAAAGAAAGAATCCATGATAGAAATCACTTTATCCATTGTGAGAAAATAAGAAATATAATTTATACAAGTAAAATTTTATTACGCGCGTTTTATAAATTTACAAATAAAAATAAGAAATAAACAATTAAATAATTGTTTTTCATCATATTAATTATCAAAGTTATAGCTACATTATATTATATATATTAATATAATAACGTTGTGTATACATATTTAAAATGCACTCAGAATGCATAATATAATATATTTCTGTAACATTTTGTAAAGAGTAAAATAACAACTATATTGGCAATTAATGAAGACATTTTACTGGCTATATAAAAACACACCTGTATGTATTTGTGTATGTACCATGCAGCTGTCTTTCCGTCATTCACGGATTCCACCGTCGTCTGGGCAACACCCGCAAGGTCGCCCCCGCAGAACACACCTGGTACCGAAGTCATCATCGTGGTTTCATCCACTTCCGGCAGGTTCCATCTGTTCATCTTAATCGGTGCCATGGCTTGTTTCACTGTTCTCATAATAGAGAAACTTAATAAATTTCTATTTAGATAACTATAAATTTTTCTTATTTTCTAAATAATTTTATATTATCTATATATTTATATTTTGTTTCCACTGCTTTTATTTATTAATTTACATATTTCTAAAACGTGCATATTAAACAACGTTGTAGTTCATAATTTTGTGCGTACATCGCGTACAGATCTATTAGACATTCCTGGGTGCGCCTTGCGATTAAAGTCAGCCGGGGAGCCAAGTTGATAAAGCTTGCGAGAAAATAATATACTTTCTATCTTTCTGGATGCTATATATTGGGCGCACTACTGCTCTGCACTACGTATCCTCGTTTGGGATTCACAGATAGAAATGATCGGTCTATAGATGTCGATTCGTCTATAGATATTGGATCGATGATTATTCATGTCGAATCGATGTCTATATTTACTCATCTTCTGCCTGGGATATGAACCGTATAGGCATAAGAAATGCCTATATATGACGAAAGGAAAGCCATTTCTAATATGTCATTTCGAGAATGCGCGTCATATACTTGATATACAGAAGGATAGAAGATTTATTATCTCTCTTCCTCTCTATCCACAGTGAAAGGTGTATCCAGATATGTTTATTATATGAAATACGTTGAAATTACAGTATTGGACAATATTGCTCACCAGCAGAGTCGTACAGTCCTGAACCAAAAGCCGAAATCACGAAATCCGCCTTTAAAACGACCTTTTGCTCTTCGTCTTCTATCCATTCGCCGTTCTCATTCTGTTCGGTCCTGCAAAATTCGATCGCGGCGATCCTCTCATTGCGAAGGATGACTCGTTTCGGCGACTGGAATGGTATAAACTCGCACTTCTCTTCCCTCGCCAAATCCATCTAAAAACAATTTTAGGATTTCCAATTTTGGCTGACTTTAATTGTAAAATATCTTAAAAAATATTTAAGTTTAACTTTTTTTACATTAAAACTTTCCAAATTATTTCCAAATTAAAGAGATCGGAGTTTATACATGGAAAGTGGAGGTGTTTTGCAAACAAGGTGGATTACCTCTTCCGGAACAGCCCGTACGTTGGTGAAGCCTTTCCGGAAGACAACGAAGACCTTCTTGGCACCACATCGCAGAGCGGAAGTCGCGCAATCGAAAGCGGTGTCTCCCGCGCCGAGAACGATCACGTTGCCCCGAAGGGATGGAAGTTCCTGATTACTCTTGCAAGCGCACATCCCCGGCTTGCTGCTTTTCGCGACAACAGGTAAAAAGCTCTTTGAGGTGAAGAAACCCATTTCCGGCGTGAGATTTTCGAAGATTGGTATGCTCTTCGGCTCAGGTAATCCGATACCTAAGAAGATCGCTTTGTGTCCAGCGTCTTGAAGACCCTGAAACAGTTGCAAATTTTATATCATCTGTGATTTTTTGCAATATATTTTCAAGTAGGCTTTATAAGATGCAAGCTAATATTATATTTAATGTTTAATGTTTACTTATATTTTGTAATAATAAACCTCTTGTAGGTTTATTATTTTGCAAATAAGATGCAGTAATATTAATTTATGTATATATATTATATTAGTACAAATATATTATATTATATTAGTACAAATTATATTAGTACAAATATATTATATTAGTACAAAAAATTAAATTGATTATCAATTTAATAATAGAATATTATTATTCCAAATAAATATTATTGCAGAGTATAAAATTCGCTGATGACCTTTGTGTTTTTTTATTTAATGTTATGCATCTTATTGATTTAGACTTCTATATTATTTTTAAATTCATTTACTTTTACAGAACAGTGTCTTAAAGGTCAGTTAGAAGATAATAGCAAAATTTAAAAAATATATTTTATTGTCAAGCTAATGTAACGAATTTAAGCAACAAATTTTTATTTTTAAGTTAATTTTACCTGTACTGTTAAATCGTTTTCAGACAATGATCTTCCTAATTCGATCTTCACTCCCAGATCCTTGACGAGGTCCACTTCAAAACTGACAACGTCATACGGAAGTCTGTATTGCGGTATTTCGGAAGAGCTTAATCCGCCGACATACTTTTCTCTCTCGAAAATCGTGATATCGTCGTAACCGAGTCGCGCGAGAAATGTCGCGCACGAGAGAGAAGCTGGTCCACAGCCGAGCAGAGCGATTTTCGTGTTTGCATGAGGTACCGTTTGATTGGGAATTCTGGTCTGAGGAATATTCATCTGCTTGAAAATCTGAAAGAATGTTTAATTTATTAGTAAAAAAATTATGTTTATCATTTAATCTATCATGAAATATGTATCTTATTATTATTTCACAAATTAAAGAAATACTGAAGGAAACATTTTGGCAGTATATGTATAAATACAACTATTTTCAATTAAGAAATTTTATAGAGAATACAAATTACACTATATATTATTTTCATTGCATATTGTTAAACATTTTTATAAATGTTAATAAATTATCTCTATTTTATTGATATTTTATATTTTAATTTAATGTATTAAATATTGTGAATTAAGACTGCCTACATCCATCGCAAAGTGTTGAAGCCCGCCAATATTAATTGGTCCTTCCTCGGTCGCGTGAAGATTGCAACCGCCCACGCAAAGGTCGCTGGTCGGGCAAACCATGCCGCAGGTGAGGCCGAGAGGATTGTCCGACAGGATCGCCTTGGCCGCGCCATAGTAATTCTTGTTGGAGATCGAGGTGATGAAGGACTTGATGTCCAGCTGCGTGGGACAGGACTTTTGGCATGGTGCGTCGACGCATTTCAAACAGCGTGCCGCTTCCCTCAAAGCTCCGCGCTCGCTTAAGGTGGTGTGCTTGATGTCGTCAAAATTCTTTGTCAGAGATATGCAACTCTGCAGTAGGAACAAGAAAAGTTAATAAACATTCTTGCCAGATCCGCGAGAGAATGCATGACGAGGATTATGTCGTAATCTTATCGGTTAATTGTTGTTTTGCAGATAGAATGTTTATCTCAAACATCACGTAATGCTTGATAATATATGTACATATATATATATATATATATATATATATACACACAGGGTGTTTCCTAAATATAGAGAAAAATTTAGGGGGTTATTCACTGGGTTATTTTAAGAATTTTTTGTTCTCTGATGATAGATCGGAAGAGCACAC